CCCCAGCCCAGAGCACTGAGTGCCACGGCCAGGCCTTCCTGGGACACCTCCAGGGCTGGGCACTCCAAACCTCCCTGGGCAGCCCCTGCCAAGGCCTCACCACCCTTTCCAGCAGCAAATTCCTCCTCCTGTCCAACCTGAGCCTCCCCTGGCACAGCTGGAGGCCGTTCCCTCTCCTCCTGTCCCTTGTTCCCTGGCAGCAGAGCCCGACCCCCCCCGGCTCCCCCCTCCTGTCAGGGGGTTGCAGAGCCAGAAGGTCCCCCGAGCCTCCTTTTCTCCAGGCTGAGCCCCCCCAGCTCCCTCAGCCCCTCCTGCTGCTCCAGCCCCTTTCCAGCTCTGTTCCCTTCCTCAGCCTGGAATGTCCATCCCGGTGTGTTGCAGTTGCTGATCCCAGGCTGTGACTGTGTGTGTCCTGCAGGGCTCTAGCTGACATGAACAATGATGGCAGGATGGATCCCTTGGAGTTCTCCATCGCCATGAAGCTCATCAAGCTGAAGCTCCAGGGGTACCAGCTCCCCTCTGCTCTGCCCCCCGTCATGAAGCAGCCGCCCCTCGCCCTGCCCGGCGCCCCAGGATTTGGTGAGCTCCCTCTTCCTCCTTGCTGGCTTGCACTGCAGCACCCCCATTGAACTGGGGTGACATTTGGCAGTTTCTGAAAGAAAATTTTAGGAAAAAGAGCTTCTAAAGGGACGTGAACTCAAAGCCAGGTGCTGCATGTGCCCCCCCCCCAAAATTGCACTGGGCTTTGAGCACAGTGACATGAGCTGAGGTCCTGTTTGCTTCAGGCCTGACACTGCTCCAGACAAAAGGTGGCTCAGGTAGCAGGGCTGGTGCATCCCAGGGTGCTGGAGTTTAGATTCCAGCTTGACCTTATGGCGTCTCCAACCTTGGCAAGATTAGCTCTGTTTTCCTTGAGTTTTTACAAGCTTTTGTTTTAAGAATGGTGCTGCTCTGGCATGAGCTGCTGGTTCAGTCCTGGGGGTTAAGTGCTGCCAAAGTCACCATCATTTCAAGGGAGAGTAGGGAAAATGGGATGGGGAGAGGAAAATAACCAAGTGAAGGCAAACCTCCTGCTTGACACACTGATGTTCTCCTGTGTCCTGCAGGGAGAGGGTCTTTACCTTTCTGGTTTAATTGTTGCTGTGACTCAGGTTTATTGATGCTTGAGAATCCCAGAGTGGTTTGGGTTGGGAGGGATATTAAAGCCCATGGGCAGGGACACCTTCCACCAACCCAGGTTGCTCCAAGCCCCGTCCAACCTGGTCTTGGACACTTCCAGGGATCCAGGGGCAGCCACAGCTTCTCTGGGCAACCTGGGCCAGGGCCTCCCCACCCTCACAGCCAACAATTCCTTCCCAATGTCCCACCTAAATGTCCTAAGGAAAGGGAACAGTGCCTCTGATAAGCTGCCTGCAGCAATGGGGTTTGATCTGCTGCCACTCACACAGGTTTTACAGTCACAAATAAAACTGTAAGAAAACAATGAAACTGGACAGAGCAAATACAGGTCTAAGTGAGAAAAGGCAGAATAGATTTAACCCCTTACAAAAATTAGCAAAATCTGGGATTCCCTTTCTCTTGTTCCCTGTACACTTGATCCCATCTGTTTGCTTGTTCTTTCCACTGGCTTGACTGGCCCTTTTTAACCTCCCTGTTCTCCCTGTAACTGTGCTCACCCCTAAAACACTCATTACTGTGCTGTCCCCATTAGCTTTGCCCCGTTTCATCCCAGCAAGAGCTGGGAGCACTTGATCCTGCAGCTCCTTGTGCAGGCTGGGGGTTCATTCCTGCCTGGAGCTCACGGTGCTGCTCTTCCTTCAGTTCCAGGCAGACAATTCCTCTCTTAGCAAACCCTCACAGACTTCCTAGGGCAGTGCTGCACCCAACGTGGTGTTCTGTGCTCAGGCCAACAATTCCTCTCTTAGCAAACCCTCACAGACCTCCTAGGGCAGTGCTGCACCCAGTGTGGTGTTCTGTGCTCGGGCAAACAATTCCTCTCTTA